GACACTGTTCGGTCAAAACCGGCGCAGCTGCGGGTGGGAGCTATGGACACTGTTCCACGTAGCAAGGTACTCCTGGGGCGGGTTACTGTCTTAGCCAGTATCCACCTACAATCCGTGTAGAAATTATCAAGCCAGTGCAGCTATTGAGAGTCCATATCCAATGGAATCTAATTGCTGTTCTTCCAAAGGGTATCGCGGGAGCAACGACAGCACCATGTCGTTAAAGTCGGCAAACTGGGATTGAGACCATAGAGCTGCCGTCTCGAAAGCGGGGGGATAAGAGCCCGCATCTACCCAGTCCACAAGCCATACAAGGCCGTTTCGGCCCAGAATGAGGTTTCGCGGACTGATGTCCTGATGGGTGAGAACAAACTGGGTGAACTTGAACGGGGGAAGGTCTTGTGGTGCATGATTGTACTTTTTACAGATGTCCAACTTGTGGTTGAACCAGCCCTCAAATTCGGACACGTCCTTGAAAGGACCGGCACTGTAGTGCGTAAAGAAACGACCGCGACATGGTCCCCCGCCGATCGGACCTGGCTCTAAGAGCTTTATGGACTACATTTCGATAATCATCTGGGCGGTCTGTTTCGCGATGTCCAATTTTTGTTCATCACTAAGATCGCCCCAGCAGCCATCAAGCGGTTCACCGTCGATATAATCCATCACAATGTACCCCATGGTGCCAAAGAATTGCGTGTCGTCCATGGATTGGAGTGACCGATGAACACGAGGGGCTCGAATGTTGGATCTTGATACAACTAGTTGAAGAACCTTTGCCTCACAAGGCAGCACATTGCCACCGCCTTTTAAGACGAGATTCTTGGATAGTCGCACTACGGTCGTTTGGCCGAGATCATGAAGGATCGGGGCTGACTTGAGGAGGTCAGCAAGTGATTCGTCAGAAAGAGAGTCGAGTTCTTTATCGTCCAGCGGGAATGCCTTGTCTGAGGCCTTACTGGCCGGCTGTGGAAATTAGCAGTACGGGATTCATGAATAAAATCAAGTACGGGCGTCAATACGTCGGCGAATGGGCGTAAAGGAGCCTCCATATTTCTGGACCTAGAGGTATGATGAGGAAAGGTCAGTGAGAATGGAAGCGGGAGTCCGTATGCGGTACCCTTCCAAGAGGGTAAAAGAAAAGCTAGGGAGATTTGACCCCTAAGAAGTTGAAGGCGAGGACGATGCAAGGTAACTATTGTTAGCTTGGTTTGGCTTAGTCATAGCCAAGAACCCTTGATGTTAGCTCATACGTAATTCGGGACCTTGCTGTGTTCAGGTAGAGCCCATCTTACCATCCACTCAGATCGAAGGATTTGTCTGGCAGTAGGACGATTCTGCGGTCTGGATGAGAGCATTGGCCGTATTATGGAAAGATACCTCCTTCTCTTTTGCTTCAGGCGATGGCATTTGACTACAACGTCTGGGTTGTTGCACACTGTCCTCAAACTGGTCTTCCCAAGCTCAGAAAGAGTGACGGTTTATTGGCTTCCCATCCTGATAAGCTTATATCGGCGGGCTTCCCACCCATACCACCATCCATGTAGCAAGACTCTTAGTGTGTCGACATGCTCACAGGTCATGTCGTCCTCAGTGGCGAGAAATCCTCAACAATGGTACGAGAACCTCCCATCTATCATGAATGTCATGACAGGTTGACTTTATTCTACCAGATGGGTAGCAATGCAGTCCGAATCGATCTACAGTTGCAGTCATATACCACTTAGCTCTATAGAGACAGACTACCACCGATTGGCACTACAGACATTGTTTTACTTCCGCAAACACTGAACATAGAGCCATCCATTATAGAACAAAGATATAAAGATTATCCTTCAGAGACATTTTGCCCAATCCCTCTTCTTGCCACGTGGTGCGGTGTAGCAATGAACATCTTTCAGATGATACTCTAACTCGGGCAGACTGCCCAGTTCCAGAGCACAAGCGGGATGGCGGCAATGAAATTTACCGTCCAGTGCTTTGGGAGAGAGATGCGAACCCACGTGCGAAAACCACGCTGGTCGATCCAAGAACTGCGCCATCCTTTTCGATGGTTTCAAAAATTTATCGCCGAGGCAGAAAGGGCAGTACGCAGCTTTTGCTGGAGTATTTCGAAAAATTATTAGATCGCACCGAAGCAGGTCCTCCGGCTTATCTAGATGACGCTGACAGTGATAAGACCATTCCTGGACACTTTGAATCCATAGGTCGCACTCGAAGCAATATTCCGCATGACAGCTTTCGCTCATTTGGGATAGCCGGTGCTTATAGCATTTATAAAGATGCGTCCACTGACGATGCGGCCGAAGCCTAGTTCTATAAGCACTTGCTGTAACATAGTGGATGGTCACTTACCTTTGTATCAGCATTCCGCAGACGCATTTTCCGTCGACGTGTCTCATCCCACACCTGTATGCTACAGAACTTTCGCATGTGCAAAGGACTTCGAGAGCCTTAAAGGCCTCACGACCAGTATCACTCCGCAGCGTCCCACTTAGGGGAAGAATTTGGGCAAGCCTGTCCCGCTCCGGCATTACTCTTCTGACATAGTGAAAAAATGTCTGCTCGCGGATGGTACCCGGTTGGATTGTGGACCGTCTCGGTTGAGCTTTTTGTATCCGACGAAGCTCTTCCAGGTATAGACTTTGTTTTTGATTATAGATGCGGTGTTGTTGTAGCTGAATCTGCCGCCTCTCCTCAGGGCTCTGCAAACTTACTAGTTGTTTGCTGAGTTGCTGCATGGAGTTGTCAAGAGAAATTATGTCGCTCCGCTCTTGGAACTCGAATTCGGCTTTGGCTGGCAAGGATTGCCACAGCTGTGGATGGCGGTACATTCCCATGCTTCGTCTATTTTGAATATGCTCATGTCGTGTTGAAACTCCGAGATATGTTGCCGGTCCATCAACTTCGCTTAGCGGGTGTGCATACGACCTGCCAAACGTATCTTGACGGATGTGGCCTGCATATTTCATACGTGCAGCCACGGAATGGTTCTTATCTGTACCAGCATTGTCAGTAGACATCGACAATTACTAGGTAGCATTCGTCCTACCTGCTTCCATCAAAGCCCAGCGGCGACAAGCACGACCGGTAACATTACGTGTATATCCACTCCTGTGGCCTAGTTCCGCAAACTCCTTCCCAAAAGCATCTGCTCCCCGAGATCTCCCAGTGGAGAGCTTAATATCCTGTTCGTCGTAAGGGCGAAAGACTGGAACATCCAAGACCTCCGGCTTGAATTCGATAGTTGCGATCACCTTTTCTTCAGGCCCGCACTCTATAGATTCTACCGCATCGAGGATATCCTGAGCCGACTCATAGTCACAAAAGGCTTTGTCAGCAGAAGCCATGGGAATGAAAAACGTGAGAAAGTTGAAAAAAAGCGGGAGCTCCTCTCGATAGATCTCATAAAATGCATGGATCGGAAGCTCCCACCTTTTCTTCATCCAGTATCCCTTCACGTAAACTCGAGAGTATGTCAGAACGAGCATTCTTACACCGTCTACCAATTCAATTGTGAGGATAAAGTGCTGCGCAACCATCAGCGTGATATATTCAACCAGTATCCCATATCTTACCTTATAGCATGCTGCTATCGCGTGCGCTCCCATAATCTCATCCTTCCCTTCGTGTTTCTGTTTCCTAGACAGGTCTCGCCGAGCGGTCGACTCATGCACTTCGCCCGACCGCGCTGACGTGAAACAGTAGAGGAGAATCGCTGCACTTAGCTGCACCCTTGTTCGATCAGGACATGTTCCCCTGTACTCTTTAAAATCTCGACACCACAGTTGTGTCATGAGAATGGTGAGATCATTTGGTGAGAGGCCATCTTTTTCCATCTCCTCCTCACAAAGGCCTGCTTTTTCTTTTAGACCTTGCTTTATCCACTATGATACCAATTACTTGTGTTCAATGACCACGGGTATGGGGATATGCTGACCTCTCGGACGGTCGTAGAGACGTTTTCCGGCATATTGTAACCTCGCCGTAGAAGTAGCCCAGCCTCGAAATCTCTACGAAACCCGTCAACGGTTTCCACTGTCGGCGTTTCCTTGCTTCCAAGTCGTCCCTTCATATTTTTAGCCACGAATTCCAGAAACCCTTTGTAGGATCGAATATCAGGCGGAGATACGGCTGTTGGGTGCAGAGCAAGGAATCTGCGGCCTGTCAGTTTCCAGTCTCTGGCTGTGGCAGGGCGCCTATAACTAACTTGTCGAATCTGCGAAGAGCCCGATCGTACTTTTCTTCTGTGCGCGGGAGAATCGCTCGAGTTAACTCGGAGTTGTCATGGCCATCCAGATTAATTGTCTGGTCAAACGTTGACACGCCTCGTCCTGCCATATCGTCCACGCCTCAGTATGCAGTTATAGCTCAGGAGCGATATTATTATAAAGAGAGAGGGCCGACTACCCAGAGAACAAAATCTTTACGCTTACGGGGGAAGGGGTTTGATGCTACTCCTTGGTCGCATTTGCGCAAATGTGACTTCCCACTAGCTCGGGTGTATAGTATTCGGGTGGGTGAACAGGGGCCTGAATTGCCCTGAAGGAAGACTGAATAGGGCGGCAAGCCGCCCACGCAGCGCCTGGTGAGCACCACCATACTTATGCTGTTGTATGTTTTTTTCCCTTTTATTCCAGCTTCAATCAACTGAATGGTCCTGTCATAGACGCCAACTTGTATTTTTTAATGTGATGCCTCCCTTGTGGAAGTTGTGGTTGTGGTTGTTGTTGATAACCTAGCTTGCTCTCCCCGTCTTCTGAATAGTCAAGACTTCTACCTACCAGAGCAGCCAGCAGGTTACAGGTCAGGTGGACCTTGAAAAAGATGAGGTGGACGCCCCACCTGTCTTGGCACTCCCAACCTCCCAGGTCAACATTTAAATACTGTAATGCATACCATGAAATTCGTTTTCAATTTCTCCTCCGCAATTATCTGCACACTAATTTAAACTCGAAACCACTTATTAACTGATTAGTTACTGCGTCTGTATTGATAATATGGATTCAGAGGCTCTCTTAATAAACTGTGGTGAAATAGATGATGTCTCCTTGAATGAAGAGGAGAATGAAGAGGTAAGAATCAGAACTGCTTTTCAAGTACTTACTAACTGATTTTTGACAACCTAGGCCCAGCCAAGCTGCTTTACTCAGTTAACAGACGCAAAAACTCATCCACTTCAAACACTGTATATTGAATACACAAATGATTTGCCAGAGTATCCAAGGACAGATCCAAATGGATATACCTATGTTATTCCAGTGAATAACTACTCTCAAGAAGAAGCAGAGCAATTAGTCAAAGATGTAAGTACTTATCAAGTGCTTGCGAATCTCTCTTACTAACCAATTCAAAGATTCAATATTCTCGAGCGAGTGTCCAAGGTGCAAGAAAGAATATTAAATCATCCTTTTTGAACTGCCCAGTTAAGAAATGGATATGGAAATGTTCTGGAGCTCTAGTATGTGAATATCTGAAACCAGATCTACGCCTGCTGCACCATACTTTTTTAGATGAGGCAACATGGCAGGAAATCAAAGATATACGAGAGAATATCGACCCAATTGAACAAGATATTCGCAAGCGGAATGCGTATAGGTAAGCACTTATTGAGTACTTACTAGCTACTTACTAACTTTCTAAAACCTATAGTCTGTATCGTTCAAAAAAAATTTTCTTCGAGAGACAAAAGGCATGCCTTGAACAACTTCCAACCTGCGCGCCAAAGTTCAAGAGGCATTTCTATCCTGTAAGTAATATGCAACTACTTAGTAACTAATTCAAAATTCTTTTCTAACTACTTCAAATAGGATGTGAACAATGAATACCATCTGTACATTGGATGTGTAAATGAATCACCAAACTTTCTTTCAAAGCATTATCATAGCTCTGTTAAAGGTCATACTACTATTGATCTTGACTTTCTGGAACGATTATTTAATGATTCGATTCTACCATCTCGAGAGGATTGTGGTGTGATTGAGCCACTAACATCAAGACGAAAGTATTATGGTGAGTGATTCTAAACTGATTGTTTACTGGTTAATAACCAGTTACTAACTAGTTATAGATTATGATCATATACAAGGCCCTGGTAAACTACAACATCTAAAGTGCGGTGTTATTTTTACTGCACTAGTGCCAGTTAATATCCAGGCAGCTCCTTATATTTTATTTACTTCGCATGGTATTCATCAACATCCTCCACCTCCACCTCATAAGCCACCAGAGCTTATACTACGAGGCATTCAAGACATAATCAGGAGAATGAGAAACCCAAGCTTGACACTGGGTAAGACTAAACTGATTCTAAGCCAATTATTAATCGCTTTGAAAACACTTTCTAACTAATGTTAAGCTCAATTTCTTCGCAGTCCTGAGCTAGAAGCTTTTTGTCAAGAATATGGTGTACTTACACCAGCTGAAGTACATTCAGCTTTCACAAATACAGACCGCATTTCTGCAATTATTCAAAAGCAGCGTCTTCTTTCATATCTAGCAGGACAAAACTTCAACGGGGTTATTTACTTGTATAATACCCATCCTTTCATAAAGGTAAGGTGGTTTTGAACCACTTAGCAACTACTTATTAGCTGGTTCTAGGACTACATCCAGGAAAAGTATCATGATCCTCATGAGATAATGATTCTGTGTGCTTTCAAAGAGCAGATACAGGTCTTGAGGAAGTTGACTTCTTTTAAAGTTGACATGTCGTACAAGCGGATTCGAGAAAAAGGAATGAATGAAGTTGTCTTTGCGACATATCTTCATTCACATGGGAAGAGTAAGTCTTCATAATTTCCCATGTACTTTACAGGTAGTTATAAAATATTTATCAAGTACTCACTAACTGGTTTGTAACTGATCCTAGTTATCACACTCCTTCGAGTTTTTACCAACCAAGAAACAACAGAAGGTTATTACCTTCTATTTAAAAGAGCCTTTACTCTCATTCAGAAGGTAACTGGTCAGTCTGTTGAATTCCATTCTCTTCATTCCTCTGGGATCTATGGGATTGTTGTTGATATGGATTCAAAACAATATACTGGTAGGTGATTATTCATTAACTGCTTGAGAAGTACTTCATAACTAACTAGTTAAGGTCTTGGACAGTACCTTCAAGAGATCGACCCTCAACATCATCCAATACTATGGCAACTCAAAGGGATTATTGTATTCTGCCAAGTCCACTTTTTCCGGACAATTACTGAAGCTGTTGGGAGTGTTGCTCGAGGTACAGGAGTTTGGAGCTGTATGGCTAATTTAATTGATTGCAGGTCTGAAGAGGACTATGACCAACTATGCAATCTTCTAGCTGGTAAGTGGTTGATAACTGGTTTTAAAGTACTCTCTAACTAGTTGTTAGAACATGAAGACCCAAAAGTCAAGGCATGGGCTGATCATAAAAAGCAACCGATCATTAAAGCTGGGCTAAATAAAAATTGCTCTAACATTCCAGCTTTCATTTATAATTCTATTCAAAATAATACTAATTCTGCTGAACAATCTCACCATAAAGCAAATGCCGCAGGGAAATGCCTGACACTGACTGGAGCAATCCAAAAGTAAGTGCCTACTGTCTTTTAGTGGTTAACAAGCAATTGAAAACCAGTTGATCCAAAACGAGTCCTAACCACCTTATAGTTCTGCGAAACTTGATAAGCAGGATATCGGTCAATACATTAATCGTATTGATTTTGGTATTCACCATTCATATCGCACAGCTAACATGGAGACCAATTACTTGAGGCATATGTCTCGTGAAGGTATATATCTCTATATGTACATTCCCTGATTATATATAAGTAGTTACTAACCACTTATAAACCGAGCAGAATCTCGAAAACGCCGCTGCTCATCCTCAACACGCTTATCTTCACCTCAGTTAGAAGTTCCTCAACGATCTCAATCACAGTCTCGCCAGTATGTGCACTCGTAATCGCTTTATAACTGATTACTAACTACTTAGTTCTGTTTCTTCTCCCCAAAGCCTGCATCGTGTTGCGTCAAGGAATGCGCTATCTTTTGAGCAACAACGGCAAGCTCTCGAAATAAGGGAGATTGAACTTCGGCTCAAAAGAGAAGAGAATGAGCTTAAAAAGGTAGAAATCGAAATTAAAAAAGGTGAGGAAGAAGTCCGGGATATGCAGCTAAAGAATGAAGAGAAGGAGTTAGAACTTATGGAAAGACGGGAAAGACTCCGGCAAATGACAAGTGAGATATAGGAATTGCTTCTTAACTACTCTATAACTGCTTATAGCCCTTGCTGTTGTATGTCTTGTTCTTGTATAATATAAACTGGTTAAGAACTAGTTTAAAATCGATTGCGGGTATATTATAAGTGTATGGAGTATGAAAGGAAATTTTGGTTCGTAATAAAAACAGGCGTGGTATGGGTAAGGTATGCTGTTACTTTGATACATGGTTAGTTACAGTCCACCTTGGCAACGGGACGCGTCCAGGTGACCTGTGTACTCCAGCCAGTCATTATTACAGGATACTACCTGCATTAGTCATCTCAGCTGTACCCACTAAGGGCCCCACTGAGCCCCACCCCCATCTATCAAAATGTTCCATCGAGTATGAACAGATATAAAGTGAATGCATGCTGACTTGAAAGATGGAACACTGCGGTGCAGCGCAATCAATAATTACAACAATTTACTATTTTGGTCACAGTCAAAACCACACAAACAGGGCATGAACCTACCTTCCGAATCAAGCGCGGGCACAAAGTTTAGGCACCCTCTCGTCCACTGGTGCCAGCCTTTCGTCATCCCCAACCCTTCTCCTGTCCCCTCTACCACTCCCAACAACTCATCTTCTTCCTACGGCGAATCCCCCTTGGCGCCATGTCCGAAATCAGTGAGGCTCTGATCGTGACTCCATTCAACCCCAACTCAGCAAGATTACAGCCAAAGAGAAAAACAACCCCATCATGAGAACTCTCTTCTCCTGCTAAGAGCATCATTCTGTCTCCTTCTGATGCCTTCCAATCAGAGCCAGTCATCCATTTAGCATCTTCTACCATCTTCGCTGCGTCGACGCGACTGTTCCCATCAGGCAATGCAGTAATCAGTAAGATCCTGTTCTTTACTTATTCTTCAAAACATATGTGGATGACTTATTCTTTCATAGACGACAGGTCTCCTCTTCAGCTTCCGCACGCCCACCCTGACCCCGAGTCCGAGCCCAAGCTGCAGAAGGGAGTCGCTGATCTTCTACCCTCGCGACACATTATCTTTCCCTTCAATCTTCGACAGAACCGGAAAGCCTTGGATAAGAAGGCTTGGGAGCACCTGTGGAATCTCTTTCCCGATACCAAAGCCGTGTGGTTTGATGGGTACTTTTTGGTGTTTACTCTCGGTTCCCTGCCCGAAAAGCCGTGGCCGATCACCATTGCTGGTGTCCAGCCATACTTCACTACCGACCTAAACGACGACGGACCGATTCCCCCAATCAAGCGCGCAAGTAAAATAGTACGCCGCATCTCCGCTGAAGTAAATCTCACCGACCTTCCGCCAGCCGAAATCGATGCCGCCTTCGAACTGGTAATCAACTACTTCTCCAGCTCCAACATTTCCATCACAGAAGTTCAATATTGGAATGTTTTTTTCGTCATTGTCCTTGAAAGCGAGGACATTACTATGGCTGAGGTTCCCAGTGCAATTGGACATTGTGCGTGTTATTACCTGTATGAAAAGGAGATGAGCCGTCCTCAACCGGCTGAAATTCCGGCCCAACGAATCCTCGACCCAACTGGCGACGTCGTGGACAATAGCGAATATGAAATTTTGCGTCCTGGTGTGATGCTCGGTTCGGAAAAGCACCCAATCGGTAGAATGGAATTACGTACGACTTCAGGTGTGCTCGTCGAAGATGGGATTGGTGAAAGATACATGACTGTCGCGTCACGCGGTTTTCCACACGGCGATAGGGTCTTCCAGCCATCCGCAGAAGGCAGGGATATTGGTAAGGTTATTATGGAAGTTTCTCATACCGGCGTTGCACTTGTCAAGCTGAATGAGAATGTCCGGTTCGTGAATGAAACTTTCGAGACCACATCCCTCGGCGTGCCACCAGCCAGACTAGAAGGATTCATACCCGCAAATGAAACCCGAATCGGCTCACCAGTGTATATGAACAATCCATTTACCGGGTTCTCCGAAGGAACATGCGGCCCGCATGCCAGACTGCGCATCCCTAGCGACGATCCTCACGAAGTACCACTCAAATGGATTAGGGCTAGGTGGGTCTATATGGGCCAAGGGTTCATAGATCGCTCAGAAGATGGTGCCTGCGGGTCAGCAATTTGGAACGATGATGGTCAAGTCCTGGGGTTCTTTCGATACGCTTCGAGGTCAGAACAGCTTAGGGACTGGTCTTTTGTGGTGGCGTCCGATAACCTTATTGAAAAGGGATTCAAGATAACTGCGCGGTGAACCTTTTTCTGACTACAGCAGGAACAGAATTTAGAGGTCTGGACACAGAATTAGTCGCTATTTTATTTATGGTTGAGAGGAAGTTCGTTGCAGGATGGCGAGTACACAGGTCACCTGGACGCGTCCCGTTGCCAAGGTGGACTGTAACTAACCATGTATCAAAGTAACAGCATACCTTACCCATACCACGCCTGTTTTTATTACGAACCAAAATTTCCTTTCATACTCCATACACTTATAATATACCCGCAATCGATTTTAAACTAGTTCTTAACCAGTTTATATTATACAAGAACAAGACATACAACAGCAAGGGCTATAAGCAGTTATAGAGTAGTTAAGAAGCAATTCCTATATCTCACTTGTCATTTGCCGGAGTCTTTCCCGTCTTTCCATAAGTTCTAACTCCTTCTCTTCATTCTTTAGCTGCATATCCCGGACTTCTTCCTCACCTTTTTTAATTTCGATTTCTACCTTTTTAAGCTCATTCTCTTCTCTTTTGAGCCGAAGTTCAATCTCCCTTATTTCGAGAGCTTGCCGTTGTTGCTCAAAAGATAGCGCATTCCTTGACGCAACACGATGCAGGCTTTGGGGAGAAGAAACAGAACTAAGTAGTTAGTAATCAGTTATAAAGCGATTACGAGTGCACATACTGGCGAGACTGTGATTGAGATCGTTGAGGAACTTCTAACTGAGGTGAAGATAAGCGTGTTGAGGATGAGCAGCGGCGTTTTCGAGATTCTGCTCGGTTTATAAGTGGTTAGTAACTACTTATATATAATCAGGGAATGTACATATAGAGATATATACCTTCACGAGACA